CTGTGTGAATCAAATCGACCTGAGCTGAAAAGCAGTTTCTTCTCCTTTACCCTCACCAGCCCATCAGACAGGCCTTGGACCCGGGCTCGCCTGTGCCCTGCGTGTGCTTGAAAACCCACGAGGAAGTATTACGCACCCGTGAAAAGCATGAGGCAATCCTACATGTTCTGATATGAACCATCTCCAATAGAAATTATTCAATGCAAAGAAAAGTCAGGGTGCAGTGCATTGTAAACACCACCTGTGCTTCAAACACAGAAAAGGCTGTCTAGACTTGAGAGCAGAGGCAGAAAAAAATATCTGGGGGGTGTAAAGAAATGGGGAAGGCGGATAGTGAGAGTGGGACCCACAGAGAAGTAAGCTAGACATTTGCATTTTATTGTTTTTTAACTTTTTGAATTTTGTATGACATGCAAAAAAAAAAAGCATTTCAAGAAGAAACCAAGTCAAATAGAATATATGACTTAAAAGTTATTTCTTCTAACTTCCTAAAATTGCATCGTCTGATTTTTATTTAGTCTTTTCCAAAAGCACATCACTTTATGTTATTAATTCCTTATTTTTGATCATCTCCCTCATCATCTTTGCCCCAGATATAGGATTTAAGATAATAATAAGGGTGGAGATGTCCTTTTTTACTTTCACTTATTTCTATAAGATTGTGTCTAGTACAGAATAGACAATAAATATTTGTTAAGTAAATGAAGAAAGCTGCTTTTTGTGAATTATGAAAGGTAACAACTCATGCGTTGCTTCCCATAAGAAGCTCCTAACAGGTCTCAGGTGCTCAGAGGTCGCCCCTGGCTGCCACTCTTGCTTTAGTTGATGCCGCCTCTCCGAGAGCTCAGGCACGATTAAAGGACTGACCAGACACAATGCAACCCTTTATTTGGTGTTTGAAACAACTACCGATCACTAGAGAAACTGTTTTCCAAATCATGTGGTAGTATAGTTATTGACCCTTTTTTTCTTTGGAAAATATGTTGCAAAGCTAAAGTAAAAGACCTACACAGAAGACAATAAATAGAAGAAAATAAAGTAAGGAATAAAATGAGCAGATTCAAAGTGGGAGTAATGAGAAAAAAATAGGAGAAAAAGTGTTCTTATTTTGAGTGGCACTTTATGATTTTGTTTAATCCCTTACACAGTCATGTGAGGGACTTTATTATGCTCTATATCACATGCATAAAACCAAGACCAGAGAGACGGATGAATCCCCATCCCTGTTCCCCAACAGCCAGAGTAACAACCACAGGATTTGTGCCCAGGTCCCTGTAGCCATTGGACCGGAGGTCTTTCTAGTCACCAGGCTTTTCTCTGAAGGAGAGTTAATCCTGTAAGATATCACTGACCCGCAGCCGGGCCCCTCCTCCGGCCCCCGCTGGCCCGCAGCCGGGCCCCTCCTCCGGCCCCCGCTGGCCCGCAGCCGGGCCCCTCCTCCGGCCCCCGCTGGCCCGCAGCCGGGCCCCTCCTCCGGCCCCCGCTGGCCCGCAGCCGGGCCCCTCCTCCGGCCCCCGCTGGCCCGCAGCCGGGCCCCTCCTCCGGCCCCCGCTGGCCCGCAGCCGGGCCCCTCCTCCGGCCCCCGCTGGCCCGCAGCCGGGCCCCTCCTCCGGCCCCCGCTGGCCCGCAGCCGGGCCCCTCCTCCGGCCCCCGCTGGCCCGCAGCCGGGCCCCTCCTCCGGCCCCCGCTGGCCCGCAGCCGGGCCCCTCCTCCGGCCCCCGCTGGCCCGCAGCCGGGCCCCTCCTCCGGCCCCCGCTGGCCCGCAGCCGGGCCCCTCCTCCGGCCCCCGCTGGCCCGCAGCCGGGCCCCTCCTCCGGCCCCCGCTGGCCCGCAGCCGGGCCCCTCCTCCGGCCCCCGCTGGCCCGCAGCCGGGCCCCTCCTCCGGCCCCCGCTGGCCCGCAGCCGGGCCCCTCCTCCGGCCCCCGCTGGCCCGCAGCCGGGCCCCTCCTCCGGCCCCCGCTGGCCCGCAGCCGGGCCCCTCCTCCGGCCCCCGCTGGCCCGCAGCCGGGCCCCTCCTCCGGCCCCCGCTGGCCCGCAGCCGGGCCCCTCCTCCGGCCCCCGCTGGCCCGCAGCCGGGCCCCTCCTCCGGCCCCCGCTGGCCCGCAGCCGGGCCCCTCCTCCGGCCCCCGCTGGCCCGCAGCCGGGCCCCTCCTCCGGCCCCCGCTGGCCCGCAGCCGGGCCCCTCCTCCGGCCCCCGCTGGCCCGCAGCCGGGCCCCTCCTCCGGCCCCCGCTGGCCCGCAGCCGGGCCCCTCCTCCGGCCCCCGCTGGCCCGCAGCCGGGCCCCTCCTCCGGCCCCCGCTGGCCCGCAGCCGGGCCCCTCCTCCGGCCCCCGCTGGCCCGCAGCCGGGCCCCTCCTCCGGCCCCCGCTGGCCCGCAGCCGGGCCCCTCCTCCGGCCCCCGCTGGCCCGCAGCCGGGCCCCTCCTCCGGCCCCCGCTGGCCCGCAGCCGGGCCCCTCCTCCGGCCCCCGCTGGCCCGCAGCCGGGCCCCTCCNGACAGGGCGCCCTGAAGGCAGCTCCGCTGGGGGAACAGGGGCCTGCTGGGGGCCAGGGGGTGAGAGCCCCAAACCCTGGGCCCCACCCCCAGGCACGTCAGGGTTAATTATATATTTCACAGGTTTTTTTTAAATAATGTTTTCATTACAAAAGGAATTTGTAGCAGTCCACGAATGTAATTCACCGCGCCAGCAGACTGAACGTGGACTACCCGCTGCTCTGGCGCACGGACTTCTGAAAAGGCAACGGATAAGACTAAGCATTTAATTCTAATTTCAAACTGACAATAGCTTAGCAAATAAATGATTTATGTGTAAATGGTGGTAGGAGACCTATTTAATGTGATGTGCAGTTAGAGTCAGTATTATATGTTCTTGGAAACTATATAAAAATAAACTCCATTTTGAAAGTTATATACATTGATTTTTATTTAATATTGCTTAAAAATTTTAACTAGATTTTAGAAAGTTTTGACGAAGTCAAGGAAATAAACAAAAATGTATAAAAGTTGAGAATACAAAGTAAAATGTTTTAAATATGTCATATGATAATCTCAAAAATTCAACGGAATTAGCTAAAAGTATTTAATATAAAAGTAGATAAACCAATAAAATTGGAAATTCATAAAATTATATGATAAAATGTTTAATGAATTAAAAAATTCACAATGAAAATTTTCTAAAGAATAAAATTCACAAGAATTAATTTAATGATAAATATGTGAAGTAGGGAAAGAAAATGTTAACTGTAGGTACAGGGCCTTACCAAAATATTCTGAAAATAGAAAACACACTGGGTTCTTGCAGAGGAATATGAAACATATTTAAAATACCCATTAATCTCCAAGTAAGTGTGTTGATGAATATAATAAATTTTCAATCAAAATTTCAACAGTCTATTTAAATAAAACTATCCTGAAATGAAACTTTAAAATAAAATGAGTAAGTATATCAAATAATTATCTTAACAGAGTAAAGCAATTTTAATTAAAAATGAGCAGGAGATAAATAACCCTTATTATATATTTCATGTATAAAGAAACAATCTTTTAAAAAATAATGTGGAACTTATGGGGAAAATAGACGTCTAGCAGTAGCCTTTGGTATATCAGTTAGCTATTCAGCTAAAGAGAGGCAACCTCATTGGAAAATGCACCCTCCCGAAACACACCCAAGCATTAGGTAGTTTAAATACATGATGAAGTCACATGTCAAATCAATGAGGAAAAATGGGTTTCTCATCAAATGGTGCAAAGAGAAATGTAATTATAGAAATTAACGTGATTTTTTTGCATAACAGGAAGCATATTCATAAGAGGTCAGGTTTGGGTTTTTTTGTTGTTTTTTTAATGGATTTTATTTATAACTGTATAAAGCACTTTTTAAAAAAAATAGATAAAATTTAGTAAGAACATTATAAAGATGTCCCCGTTAACTCACAGGTTTTTTAAAAATAATATTTTCATTACAAAAGGAATTTGTAGCAATTTTTACTGGAAAGGAAAGTGGCAAAGAACACTAGTGTCCCATATCCTTTCCAGAGAAAATTACTATTAAGTTTCTGTGCTTCCTCCAATTCGTATTGTAAGAACAGTTTCTTATTGTTGACCTCATACCTTACATCTGTGGCTCTTGCATTTTTAAATAAACATTAGTCTCACTTCCCATTTTAGCACGTGTTTAATACTATTGGCAACTAAGTGGGATTCCATTATATTGATTCTTATTGACTTTCTTTAAAAAGCTGCATGGGTGCCCGGCCAGGCATGGCTCAGCGGTTGAGCATCTACCTGGGATCCAGGAGAACATGGTTCGGTTCCTGGTCAGGGCAGGTTCCCGGGTTGTGGGCTTGATCCCAGGTGGGGGCCTGCAGGAGGCAGCCGGTCAATGATTCTCTCATCATTGATGTTTCTATCTCTCTCTCCCTCTCCTTTCCTCTTTCTGAAATCAATAAAGATATGTTTGAGAGGGGGGAAAAAGAAGAAGAAAAAAAAAACTTTGTATGGGCTATTTGAGATGTCCTGATTTTCATCTTTACAGAACATAATTTGTGAACAGTTGTGCACATAAGGTTTTTGGTATAAATGCAGGCTTAACACTAGTTCTCTCTCTAGCTGAATGGAGGACTATTTGGTTGGTCCCTTGGCTTCAGTTTGGCCACATTCTCTGAGAAGTTTGCATCAGAGAGAAATATAAAATTGTTGATTTTCTTTCATTTTTTCCCTCCTTCCCTAAATTGCTGTTTTATTTAGTATTAAAAAAGGTAGAGAAAGGAAGTAAATTGTTTTGTAAAGTGAGCTCTTTAAAAGCAATCAATTATAGTTATTTTTATGTGGACTGATCAGTATCCTTTAAAATGTAATCAAGTGGCAGCTGTAATTACCTAAGCCACTTGGCTCAAGCAGACAGCTAAATCTACTGAAACTCACTTTCCTTTCCTGTTCCTTCAGAGCTTGTAAGTAAGGTGTTCTCTTTTGTTTTCTTTTGTGTTTTTTCTCCTCATAAAGCTTAGTTTTGGAGGAATTCCAGTTCCAGGCAAACCTGGGACCTTTTTAAGGAAAAACTTCCAGGGATGCATGGAAAACCTCTACTACAACGGAATCAACATAATTGACCTGGCTAAGAGGCGAAAGCACCAGATTTACACCGTGGTAAGTCGGCATCCTTTCAGCTTGCTGGTTTCTAACCCTTTACACCCTCGGCACCTCTCCATCATAGGCTTATAGTTCCCTTTCGGGGGTCCCACCCGCCTCCCATGGAGACCAGGGAGGGTGCAGGGACTGGGTCAGTGTGAATTGTGTTATTGGGAGAAACAAATGCATTAGAGGCGCCTGGAGAATTTCCTGTTCCTGGCTGAGGGCTGGGTGGCAGCTGTGGGTAAGCTTCACACTCCACACGGGGCTAACATGATTCTCTTTATTACCTCTGGGAAATGAAACAATAGGAGAGATTCTATTAAATTCTTATTGTTGATACTTAAAATAGGGCATTTTGAATGAGAGGTTAAACTTTTGGTGTTTTTGAGATTCCCATTCAGCATTCATCATGCTGGCAAGTGAAACAATTTTTAATTACTGAATATTTGTCTTCCCCAATAGATGTGAGTTTCACGAGGGCCAAGGCTGTTGTTTTCTTTGTCACTAGTGCATTCACAATGCCCAGCAGGGTGTCTTGCACATGATCTGTGCTCACTAATGCCATTTCCAGTTCTAACTGTGGATTTGTCTATCTCTCCTTCCAGGTCCGTCGGTTTTTGGGTCATATATTTTAGAGCTCTGTGGTGTGGTACATGCACAGTAAAGATTGTGTCTTCCTATGGAATGGCCATTTTATCAGTACATAATGTTATTTTCTGTCTATGAAAGCTTTCTTTCCTTATTATCACTGGACTGTAGCAAATGTCCTGTATCTCTGCAAAGTCACCTCCAGTACCGTCCCCACAGGGAGTGGGTGGGTTCCTCATTACTGCCAAGTTGGGTAGAAGTCCAGGCTCCAGGCTCCACGGGATGTGTGGTCGCCACTGAAACTACAGGGAGAGGCTTCCCACGTTCTGGCAAAGATTAAAATCCAGGCTCCCTACTTAGTCTTCTCTGGCACCTGGCTGGGAGCTTTGGGCACCTTGTCACAACATGGCTGGACAGCAGCGGGCCACAGCTGTTGCCATGGAGCTTGGCTGGCTTAGAGCAGTTACTGTGTGGAGGTGTTCTGATTTACTGTGCTTCCTTTACTGGTCCTTTGATTACACAGAACAGATTTCTCATGCGCATTTTTTTCTGCACCAATTGGTCTCTCTTGGTGCTAGCTTCTTCAGCAGCAAGTTTAGACTATATAAGGCCAAATGAAAATCTAGGGAACTCACCACTGCTGTTCTTTGGGTCTCAAAATCCTTATACATGCTGTTCTTTTTCTCTCCACCATTCTGATTCTTATTAGGTTTATTTTACACATAATCTTTAGGGTTTTTAAGTTGTACTTTGTGGTAGAAATAAAGAAAATCACACTATTTCATCTTCCCAGAAGCAGAATTCCCTAAAACAGACATGCATTTAAAACCCATGACAAGACTGGGCCATCCTGTCATGGACAGGAAAACCCTGATTCTCTTTGCAATCTGGCCACTGGCAGTCTGATCAAACTAAGATTTAAATGACCTGTATGTTTATTTTGTCTATTGATAAGTATAAACTATAATGGATATTTTCTATTTGGGGGTTTCATAATTTAGCACATTTTTAAAGTGGCCCAGTGGATTCCAGGGTGTGAGGCAGGGTTGCTCAAGGGAACTCACACTTGGGTTAAAGTTCGTCAGCATTTTAGAAGGTTTGTGCTAAATGTCTGACTGTTAGTTCTGAAGAGTAGCAATGATGCTGAGAGGGTTTAGTTGCCTGACTGTGGCTCTAGGGGATACACTGACTGGCTCATCCCTTGACTCATGACAACTCTCCCACCACATGTGCTTAGGTGCCCATCTCCTGATCAAGCTAAGAGCTAGCTTGCTAATGACACTTCTCTTCAGTCTAAGTCAGGAAACTGGGCCACACAGAGCAGGCCCATCCATTCCCCAGTGTTATTCCTAGGAGATATTTCATAATGTACCAGTTTCATGGACTTTCACCTGCCGATGCAGTGGATCACTCACGGCTAGGAGTGCAGCTTAGATTAACGTCATGACCATCAGCGCCCTGGAGAGGCCAGGCAGTGCTGCTGGCCACTGTGCTAGGAGGTGGCAAAGCAATTGGGAAAACAAGGCGCTGAGCAAACATCGCTCACTTTCACTGCTTTCACTGGGCTCCTCCTCAAAAGCATGAGAGCCTGAGCCTCAGATTTAAATCAGATCCTACGGCAACGTTCAGGACAGAAATCTCATGCATATCATGCGTTAGGAAATATTTTAATGATGAGATATAGTAGATAAGTCGCTGAGTGTGCAATGCAGAAAAGGGGAAATAAGGGAAGACAAGGGAAAACATAAATTTCTAAATATTGGCAGACTCATCATCTCCTTTTCTGAGAGAACCATTAATTAAAAATGTAATAAATGTTTTGTTGAGTTTAAACTACTGTAGCACTTGCCGAGTTTCCTGAAACTTTGCCAGCACGCTTTATTCCTCAGGGCCTAATTGGCCGCATTGTTAACATGAAGCACGAAGAACCCATTTAGCACTAATGTACTTGGAAAAAAATCCCAAGAAAATTGTTTCACTTTATAGGTAGACAACCTTTTGTTTTAACCTTGACAATTTAAAGGGAAAAAAAACATTATTTTTCTTACAAATTGCTTTCATCACCTTGCTTAAGTGAGAATTCATATCACACACACACACACATATACCTAGTCTTTTTTCCCCCTTTAGAATTCCATGGAGGAAGGAACGGTTTTCACTCTTAATTACAATTACAAAGTCTTTTATTCCCCTAGTCTGGCATAAAGCTTCCCTAAGACATAGTATCAGCCACCAAGACAGCTTCGCTGCCAGTCACTAAGTCGCTCTTTGCTAAGTGAGGGCCTTTAAAAGGGTGCTGCCAGGGCCCTTTTCCAGTGCTCACACACTCTCTCCCAGTTACCGAGTCCTGGGGTTTCAGAGTTTAACCGAGGACTCGAGAGCCAACAGATCAGGCTGTGAGTGTATGGTAATGCCCATAAATTACAAAATATGATTTGAGGCTCAAGGGAGCATGGCCTGGGCTTGGTCCAGCACCAGCTTCTCCAGCAGGCTGCACTCAGCAGCATCCCCACAGCAATTTGTCATTCCTTTCTTGTGGGACCTGCCCACTCCCTGGAGACTGAACAGCTGCTCTATGGGGATAATTGGATTTAGTCTTTATAGCTTTATTTGACTATAAGATGATCCTCCGCATCCGGAAATGCAGTAAAACTAACAGCTTAAAATAGACATAAAAATACCCCACTGTTCTTCCTGAAATCTTTCATCCTATGCTAATACACCACAATATAATAAACACTCAGGAAGTGAATGGCCCATTGAAGTGTGTGTACAGTACCTGTAATGTGTATTATTATATAAATAGGAAATAGATTGCCCTTCTAGTTTCCTGAAAATGATTAATTTCATACCTTCCACTTCATACTAAGTGATCCTTTCTCTGAGCTCTCCTTTCTGATTGTTGCTCACCTGTCCTAGAGGCAAAGAGAGTAATATGATTGTCTAGGAGTTGGTTGGGGTCTCACCAATTTATTTCACTGTAAAATGATTTTTTTATTTAAAAGAAGAGCATAATAAAAGTACTCATGTTAATGTATTTTGTCTTCAATAAAAGGGAAGAAAAAATAAAATAGTTAATAGCAGGGCTATGGCTACAAATTGGCTTTGGAGCTAACTGATCCTGTCAATTCACTTCTGTGCCTTTGTCTCCAAATAGTGGAAATCAGGAACCTGGATGGGCCATGGCCAATACTGAGCATTTACAGATACCCACATCATTATGGCCAAAATTGCTAAATAGTTGCAAAATGAGTTTCCACTCAGTTAGGGGGAAGCCGCATAGTCTCCTCAACCCACTGCTCCCGGCGGCACCGGTGCAGCAGGATGGTGGGTGAACAGCTTAGGTTCCTAGTCCCCAATCCAGGCTCTCTCAGTGATGGAGCCTCTGGCACGTTACCAAACTTCAGTGCCCTCATATGTAACCTGGGAACATCTTAATATCCACTTCAAAGTGTTATTGTGAGGATTACATATCTTAAGTTATATAAAATAAAATTAAATACGTAAGCGGAGACAGTTATAATATCAAACTCAAAGTGCTATTGTCAAGAGTAACTGTGTATTTTGCACAATACAAGGTCCACAGTAAGCACTCAGAAAGTTGGAGCTATTATTAAGTAAAATTTATACTCGTCATTTGACTTAAGTTGCCATGCAAACTAGTATTTATTTGTCATCTTAGATAGATAATTAATGGATCACATACAGTGTTTGCATTCTATGATCCCAACAATAATAAAAGTAGATCAAAGAGAGCTCCTGCTCTACCTCCTGAGTGTGAAGATGAGTTTACTCCAAAACTGTATGAATTATGAAGTGGGCTTTGGATAAAGATATTACAGACTTATCCATCTCATTCATTTGAGGAAATTAATGGCCAGTTCTAGACTAGATTTGGTTAAGTGATGTACCCCTTTAAAACAAAGCCTTTAGAAAAGCTGTGGGCGGGTATAACAGGCATTCTGAGAAACAGTGTGTGCGGGAAGGGGCGAAGTTTATCATCTTCTGTCTACATCTGGCTGTCATTCACCTCACTGGAGCATGGTTGTTTATTTCTTGTAGCTTTGAAGCCAAGAAAATGCACCCAGAGATAAGTATAAGTCTACAAATGACATCAGACACACATTCATATCTGAATTCACACACACGCACACACACACGCACGCACACACAGTGGCCTGGCAATCTTTGTCTTATCTTCCTGTGACCCAGAAGCTCATGAACGTTGCTCAGAGAAAACTCCCTGGTGTCTAGTGAAGCCTGTAATCATTTCTGCTTGTCCCTGGGATCATGTTTCATCCCGCTAGTGGCTCTGTGATAGATTACACTTTGCTTGATGGGAGACATCATCTGAAAAAGCACTGACACATCAGGTCTTTTCCTAACACTCCCACTGCCTTCCACTGCCATTGGCCAGCCTGACATTC